CATAAAGGGTGGGTGAAGTGGAAAGATGTCCTGACAGGACAATAGATGGGCCCGGATCCAGTGGTCAGCTGGAACCGAGGCGCGGTTTGTGTTTTCCCACAGAAATCGGGACGAGAACCACTGTGGGTACCGGAGAGACTGACACGGGCGACAAAGCCCTCGACTGAAGATCAGACCTGCCCTACCGGAGATCCATCACAGACCGACCAACAAGATGAATAGAAATAGCGGTAGCCCAAAATGGACAAGAAGATCCTCAGGCATATACATGGCTCGCTCGCCTAGCCTACGACCGAGTCTAGGGGTGGTGAGCTTCCCACACTCCTCCTCTAAAAAATTATGACATAGCTGGGTAGGAGAGTCAATGACGGGTAAGAGCGTACTCCCCCGGTGCGACTCAACCTAAGCCAGGCCCTACCCCATCCTGCACGTAAGCCGCTGGACTGTTAGATTCTGCCCAGGTCTAAATTTCTCTCCGAGGGGATTTCTTTACGGAGAGGAAATGAGTGCAAGCTTGTGTGCATCCAGGTTCCGTCCAGTTTGTGCCTGGCCCTAGAAAAAGGACGAGGGCCTCAGGGCCTTGGCAGACCATGGGACGGCCGACCAGGGTCTAAGCCAAGGACCTACGGTGGGCCTACGCATAGGGCATAAGCCTCTGCACCCAGTCCAGAAAGGGCTACGATGCGCACATTCATAAAAAATAAAAAAGGGGGAGATGTTGGGAGCCGCAGCCCCGAGCCCGGTCGCCTCACTTGGCGGACGTGAGGCCTGTAGTAAAGAGTAAAGCCTGAGGTAGATTACCCCTCCCATCGAGCACGTTAGTTTCCTGCTTACCGCGTAAGCAACCCGCTCAACAATATAGTCTGCCTGGCAACTGATGATGTTAGCCAATCAGCTTGCCTTGCTTACTTTAACATGATTGGACACTGTATCCGTATATATACTGGTGCCACCCCTGGGGGGGAAAAAAGAAGCCCGGAAGTAGAAGCCCAGAAGGAGCCGCGGGGAGCGGACCAAAGGAGGCTTCGGCTGGGAGCGATCCCAGGGCAGGCTGTACGGAGAAGGAAAATAAAAGAAAAGGTTGTCCACTGCCAGGCTTTGTCGTGTGTCCTTCCTGCCGGCCGGGAGCGACATCGACACATGTAACTATTGATACTTATTCTTCATTTCTATGGGCCACTGCCCAACAGGGAGAATCCACTAAAAATGTTATTATACATTTATTCGAAACTTTTGCAGTTATGGGAATTCCCTCTAAAATCAAAACAGATAATGGACCCGCTTATACTAGCAAAACATTTAAACAATTTTGTGATCTCCATAATATCATTCATGTTACAGGGATTAAATATAACCCCCAGGGTCAAGCTATTGTTAAAAGAGCACATGACACTCTTAAGTTACAAATTAAAAAATTAAAAAGGAGGAGTCAGGAGGATATTCAGATACCAATACTGTTTAAATTGCAAAACAGTGCAAAAACATTGCTGCATCAGGTACTGTTTATTTTAAATTTTCTCAATTTACCACAAGGTGAAATATTAACAAGGGCTGAAAGACATTTTGAACAGCAGCAACAACCATATGTGATTAATGAGCCTATTTAGACTAAAACAGCCCCAGAGGCAGAATGGGAGAAGGGTACATTGCTTTATAAGGGGAGAGGTTTTGGTTATATCTCCACAGAACATGGAATTCAACAATGGGTCCCTGGACTATGGATCAAGATCTGCGCCTCGAGGCCCTGTTCACCAATCCCGGAGACAACTCCCCGAGGAACCGTATCCTCCGAGGCGAGCTCGAAACCAGCTAGAGGATAAAGATGATAAACCTGTCCCTATTGCTGCCATGGCCAGATTACAGCTAAGAAATTCCCGCCGCCATTCACGGCAACCAAATTTAAACCTTCTCCCTACATGGGGACAAATAAAGAAATTGACCCAACAAGGGCAACGGCTTGTCCTTCAAACAGGGAAGCCTTTAAACCCTGAAAACTTGTTTTTAGCTTTATGTGCCTTGCTCACCGTTGAATCGGGGACTGAGGTACCCCAGCATTCTTATTGGGCTTATATTCCAAATCCCCCTTTACTAGAACCTGTAGTATGGGGAACTATTGATATATCACTATATACAACACCAAGGGAGATTTTGTCAGCACCGTGGGCTGATTTAACCCCCCATAATCAAGATGATAAAACATTATTCAATTTTACTTATTATGGTAATCAAAGGCCTATTTACATTGGGGAACCGCCTTACATCCCTCTGGGATGGCAGTATTGGATTCAACATAGAATAAAAGCAGGCAGCAAAAGGACAAGGCTTCAAGCTTTGGCTGCTCAAACTTTTAATGTTACCTGGAAAAATTTAACAGCGCCTGATAAAAACACATATCCTGTATGCCCTGATTTCACTTATAATAATATTTCTTATAATCCCATAATTTGGCAACAGTGTATGGGGAAGTTTGCTAAAAATATTGATGGATATATTATTTGGGGACCATTTAAAAAATTTGTTAATGGATGTGCTGAATGAAATGAGACAAGATGTAATCTCTCTGTTATATATAGTCTTCCAGATCCAAAGAACATAACTAATAGAGCTCCCGTCTTCCCTCAAAAGACACATCTCCTGTGGTGGGGAGACGGTGGAATCGCCAATCCTGCTGTTGCAGCCGAAGAGTACCCTCATAATCTCCAAAATCACATTTGGAAGATTCCAGCCGCTATGCAACCTATAACCTTATACAATGTTTCCTATTCAGGAACTAGTCAATCTGTATCTACTACTTATAATTTTACTAAGTTTATGATATATAATGTTACTGTTTGTGCACCTCTGCCTTATGTCTTTTTAGTGGGGACTTTTAATTTTACACATTTTTCTTGTACTTGTTTAAATTGTCAATTGTTTACCTGTTTAAATAGCACATTAAATTTCACTAAGCCTTACACAGTTATGCTTTTGCAACAAAAAACTCATATTTGGTTACCTATAAATCTAACTCGACCATGGTCTCAGGACCCATAATCTCTGTTACTACTAAATTTTTTCAACATCTGTTAAAACGTACAAAAAGATTTATTAAAATAGTGGTTGCTATACTGTTAAGTCTGATAACTGTGGCATCTTTAGCAGCAGTCTCAGAAATAGCTTTACAAACCTCTTTGCAAGAAAAACATGTTATAAAACAATGACATGAGAATTCTCATAAACTTTGGTTAACCCAATGGCAAATAAATGCTAAACTACAGCAGCAAATAGACCTTCTTAAACAAACAGTTGAATAGATGGGAAAAAAAATATTGGCTCTTCAGCATTAAGCGTTTTTAAAATGTGATTGGAATTCAACTACTTTCTGTATAACACAACGACCTTATAATCAAACAAAACATGAATGGGAAGTGATTAAAATGTATCTAAATGGAAACACTTCTGCCTAGGAGGAAATAAAATCTTTGCATAATCAAATTGACCAAGATTTTACAAAGCACAATGATGATAAATCTCTGGCACAGTTTGCTCAATTGCTTGCTCATTCCTTAAAAGGGCTAGACCCTAAAGGAATCTGGCAAAGCCTTACCCACACTTTAAGCGGCATGGGACTTAGCTTAATTATAGCTCTCATTGCCATAGTTCTTGTGTATTTTTACTACATAAGACAAAATGCTACAAATAATCTGGTCTTATAGAAATTGTTCTTAAAAAATAAAAAGGATGGAAGTGGGGGGGGGGGATGAGGAGTCACTTTGAAGGCCCTAGGCTCCCTCGGGACCTGCAGTAAACAATAGCCCCCGGTATGCGAGACAGAGGCGGGACAGGAATGCCTGTTCTCAGTGGGGATCTTCTCACCCTCTGAAACCATGCTGTGTGACTTGGCTTTGTTTACACAGTCATGAGGAAGTGGCCGACCACCTTTGTGACACTAGCAACAAACATAATTAACAACATTTTTGGGCTAATGAATTTCCTCCTGGGTTAGAGGGGCTAGAAAAACTGTGCTTGTTTGCTTCACTTAGATAATTTAGATAAACATTGTAGTCTGTCACATTGTAGCTTGTCCAAAGGAATGCTTTTTCACTAGTTAATCGTCTGTGCTCTATAAATTGATCCGGTTTACTATGTAAGAATCCTAAAATAAAGCACAGTGTACAGTGCAGTGCGGTGCAGTTACAATTGCTGTTTCTCTCTACTGCTTCTTTTCTTCGCGCTGCACCCCCCCGTGTCCCGACTTGGTGTGTGTGTGTCTCTTCCCGGAGTCCAGAGTGCACTAGACACTCGCGACACCTGGCACCAGGCATCTTCTGTCTTTTTGGTCTGAGTTCCTCTAATCAGAGTGAGGCAGCACCTGGTGGGATGTGCTTTATCTGGAGGCCCCACAGGGCTCTTTGCAGAGATCCTGCGTGGCCATCGCAGGGAGGCCAGGTCACCTGTGAGTCCTGCCTCTGCTTCTCCAGTAGTCGCCTTTCGTTTGTGTCCTCACACTGACTGGACATTGACTCCCGGGTCTCTGGTCATCTGTTCTCCCTGGTGTGCACTGTCCGGCCCCTGTCAGAGTGTGGTGTGGTCTCTCGAGGAGGAAAGTGAACAGGTCTGGCAGGGTGCGGGAATAGGGGTGGAGGGAGCAAGGTGACCTCAGTGTCCACTCCAGGGATCAGGTGGAAACAAGGAGGAATGAGCTTTCGCATCCCGGCCAGATTCCCGTGACCCATCTCTAGAGACCATTTCCACAGCAGCTTTAAACAGGGTCTGGCTGATGGCTGACTAGGTGATCTGCTATAAGAGAAGAAATTACACTGAATCTTCCAGTTAGATCGGGGATGCAATGAGGTGGCTGTGGTGGAGGGGGTGGCATGCAGGAGAGAGACTCAAACCCTGTGAGTGCAAAGCCTTTGGAGCTTCCTGCAGCAGAAGAGCCAGGACCTTGCAGGGAAGGGATGGGAGCGACTGTCACCCCCAGGATGTGGCCTGTAAGGTAAGCAGCTCAGTGGGTCACCTCAGATGCGCTCCTGAATGCCCGTGGAGGGTGTCTCCCTTCCCTCCAGCTCGGGCTCCTCCTGCAGTGCCCGGTTCAGAATGGCCCCCATGGACTCCTTCAGCTTCCGGTGCCTCTGGTTACCCACCAGGAAGTAGATGACCGGGTTGGCGCTGCTGCTCACGGAGGAGGAGAAGCGTGATACGCAGAGCCACAGGAGCTTTACCTGCGGCTTCGGGTCCGTCCAGAGCACGACATACCAGTAGATGCCCAGGGGCAGGGAACAGACAAGGAACACAAAGACAGTGGTTAAGATGACCACATACAGCCGCCGGGGCCGCTGCACGATGCTCTTCCGCACTTGGACAAAGAGGATGGCACTCGATATGGCCATCACAGGCATGAAGACCCCCAGGATGAGGGTGCCTATGGCCATGTCCACCTTGAAGCAGTGTTGCTTATGGAAGTGCAAGTACGTGGTGCAGAAGTAGGAAGCCAGCATGTTCATGCTGAAGGACAGGGCCCAGAGCAGGGCAGTCACTATAGTGGACAGGTGCTGGGGCTGGTGGCACTTATACCAGATGGGGCAGAGGACTGAGAGGCAGCGCTGGGTGCTGATGGCTGTGAGCAGGCTTAGGCCGGTGGTATAGGCGAAGTACTTCACCCTCCACATCGCCTCGTAGGCTATGGCGTAGGGAGTGAAGTCTGGGGTGGCGTCGTTACTGATACTGTCCAATTCGGGGTGGGGCTGGGTCTCCAGGCTCAGCACAGCGGCCATGCAGAGGAGGAAGAGGAGGTCAGCCACCGCCAGGTTGAGCATGTAGACGGTGAAGGGAGTATGCTGTGAGCGGCAGCTCAGCAGCCAGATCACCACGCTGTTGCCCACTGCCCCGCACACAGAGGTGACCATGGTCAGGAAGATCAGAGTAAAATAGGCCCAGGTCATCGCGTCCAGCCTGGAGCTGCTGGGGGAAGGTGCTGAGGTCATCCTGGGAAGGCAAACAGACCAGTGTGAGACTCCAAGTCACTTGGACTCCAGAGGGCTTTCTGGGAGCCTCCCAGATTTCTAGCTTCGGGGTTATTATGCCAATTCCCCTGGCTTCCGATATGATCCTCTCCCTAGGGCTGTCGCTCACCCTGACTCTGCCATTGTGGACACCAGCTTGCAGCTGATGTCCCTTTTCAGGCTAAGGTCTCTTCTATTCTGAGCTTCTTTTCCAAATTACAGAGAAGTATCAAATGCCTTTTCTACATCTCTTGAGATTATCATTTTTTCCGTCATCTTCAAATCCTATGAAATCATTTTCTGAAAATTAGACCTCAAAGGGAAATAGATAATTAATTACATCCCTCAATTTGAGGCACACCGTGACCATGAATCCAAATAAACATTCCTCACATATATCTCCCTTCAGCATCCCAGTCTCGCTTCTGTGTCCTCTCCAACTTGTTTCTGTCCTGATCTAATTAACCCTGGTCCTGGGACATTGACACATTATGCAGTGTGGCTGTTGTTAGAGTCTGGGGCATCCTTAGGAAGGAAAATGGACCAACGTAAAATTCGGTGTTGCATGGACCAGCAAGACTTTTCACTATCTTTTCAAAAGCAGAGAGGCTGTCCCTCAGCATTTCCAATCATCTAAACATTGCAATTTAGAAGTCACACTGTTTTTATTTCACTCCACAATATGTGCTTAGGGTAGGTTTGCTGGCTGTAAGGAAAGGTAGTTTGTTGTGACATTTCATGATGTCCACTGACCCCATTTTCCTTGTCTATTTCTTCACCATGGATTCCAGCTATTAGATTTCCCAGTGCTGTTATCCTAAAAACATGACAGTGAACACCCTCATGCAGGTCCCTTTTGCACTAGACTCAGGACTTTTCTGGTGTGTGTTCCGGAAGTGGGGTTGTCAGGCCGCGGACTAAGCACTATTGGGTTAATTTTGTGAATAGCAGCTGCAGACTTCACTCTCGCGCTGGGGCAGGGAGATTCCCACACCCACGTTCCCTCACTCACACGAGGCTTCATGCATTCTCCTCATTTTTGCCAATTCAATGTTTGCAAAGTGACCCCAGGAGTTCCAGCGTGCATTTCTCTGGCTCTCGGCCTCAGCTCACACATCTGGGATGGCCACTGGGGCCTCCCCTACTGAACAGCCTGGCCACATCTGCTGTTCATTTGTTTTTCAACTGAGTTTCCCTTCTCCTCTTTCCTTGTGTGCAGTCACTGTTCATATTTTTAGGTGGTGATCCTTCCTGGGTTGAGACATTGCCGGTTTTTGTCTCTGAGAATTTTCTTTCATGACAGTTTTCTCCATTCTGGTAGGGCCACTCTCCTGTAAGTTTTTAACCTTAAATGGTGAGCCTTTTGGATCCTGTTATTTCATATCCCTGGGTGAGAGAAACATTGCTTATATTTGCCTCTATTAATTGTATAGTTTTCCCCCTTCAGTTTCGGTCCTGGCTCCAACTGGAATCTACTTTTTCTGAGGGAGGAAGTGAGGAGACAGCTCGATTTTTTCCTTCTTCGTGTGGGCCAGGTTTCCTAAGGCCACCCCCCACCCAGCCTGTGTTCCATCCACTTTGACACGGGCTATTTTTGAACTTGTTCTGGATCAGTGGTTTATCTGTTCCTACAGCATCAGCACAGCATTGTCTAATACATGGGGTTTCGTGCTGTACCATTTATGGTATATAGTGAATCACCCCCTTTTTAAACTGAAGTAGCCGTTTGTGAATCCTTACACATCTTAGAGTAATGCTTTGGAATTCCTTTAAGGAAAAAGCCCCTAAGTTTTCATAGAACTTACAGATTGCAGTAGGGCAGCCCGATAGCCTTTATAATGTGAAATCATGGTGCCCACGCCATGAAATGTCTCTCCAGCCTCAAGTCCTTTCTCACGTCCTTTAATATAATTAATAAGGGCTTTGGAATTTTCCTTACAAAGGTTCTACACATTCTGTATTGTGTTAATGTTGCAATACTGCTAGAGTCCCTTGTTGACACTGTAAATGGTATTTTATTGCATCTAAAAAGATTTTATTTATAATTTTTAACTTGACTTCTGATGCAGAGAATTAGATTTTTATTTTATTTTCTTTTCACTTTTTTTTTTTATTGGTACCAGGGATCAAACTCACAACTGCCTGCTTGCAAGGCAGGCGCTTATGCCACTGAGCTAAATCCCCAGCCCTTTTTTTTCACTTTGAGACAGGGACTCACTCTGTAGTGCAGGCTGGCTTTAAACTCACTGTGTAGCCTAGGCTGGCCTCAACTTTGCAGTGATTCTCCTGCCTCAGCCTCCTGGCTCAGGAATTGGATTTGTTGTTTTACTTGTTTTGTGATATCCTCCCGATATTGGTCCAGGGATGGCCCCTTTCCTTTTTTTGTGTGCATGTGTTTGTTTGTGTTTATGCTAAAGTTATGTAGGAGCTCACCATCCAAAAGAACAATTACAATCTTGACAATAGCTGATTTAATTTTGGCTACTGTGTGGAGAATAAACACATAGTCAATAGAGGCTGAGCTTGATATGACACTGCATGCCTATAGTCCCAGCACTCAGGAGGCTGAGGCAGGAGGATTATTGTGAGTTCAAGGCCAGTCTGGGCTACACATTGAGTTCAAGATCAGCCTGAACTACATAGCAAAACCTTGTCTTTAAGAAAAAAAAAAACCCTTAAAATTTTTAGAAGAAAACACAGAGACCAATCTTTGCAACTGGAATTTGGCAATAGAGTCTTAGATATGACACTGACAGCATAAAAAATGGATAAACTGGATTTCTTCAAAATTAAGATCTTTCATCTCTTGATGGGTATCAAGAAAGCAAAATAGCTACTTACTAAGTAGGCAAAAATATCTGCATTGTATTTCCTAGGGGTTTAGTGTACAGTTTATAAAGAACTCTAATTCAACGATAAAACAGCAACCCAATTTAAAAGTGGGAAAAAAGCTTTGGACAGACATTTCTCCACAGACGTACAAATGACCCCCAACTGCCACTAGCTCCTCTGGTGTCTGCATCGGCCTCCTTACTGGCCTCCGAGCCTCTCTCTCTCTCTCTCTGTCTTTCTGCCTCTCTGATTCTCTCTGTGTCTCTGTCTCTGTCTCTCTGTCTCTCTGTCTCTCTGTCTCTCTGTCTCTCTCTCTCTCTCTCTATCTCTCTCAGCAGTGGTACTGTGCTGGGAACTGAAACCAGGGCTCACACTGAGCTACATCCCAGTACTTTTTCCTTTTTTTTTTTTTTTTTGTTTTGAGACAGAGTTTTATAAGTTGTCCAGACTGAGCTCAAACTTACAATCCTCCTGCCTCAGTCTGGGAGTGTGGGATCACAGACATGCACCACCATGCCTGGCTACAGTTTTTAGCTCTTTTTCTAAGGATTTCACGACTTTAGCTCCTGGTTTGTTTTTGTTTTTTGAGACAGGATCTAATTATATTTCCAGGCTGGTCTCAATCTCCTGGGCTCCTCCCATTGCAGTTTTTCAAGTAAATACCTGGAACTATAGGTGTGCATTGGCTGGTTTTAGCTCTAATATTTAGATCATTGAATTAGCTTGATTTATTTTTATTTTTTATTTTTTATTTTTGAGACAGAGTCTCACTATGTAACTTAGGCTGGCCTTGGACTGTCTGTGTAACCCAAACTGGCCTTGAACTCACGGTGATCCTCCTGCCTCAGCCTCCTGAGTGCTGGGATTACAGGCATGTGGTACCATGGTCAGCTGCTCACTTTGAGTTAATTTTTGTGTATGTGTGTTATATTTATTTTTGAAGGACATTTTTTCTGAATAAGGAATTCTATGTTAGGGCCTGTGATGTAGCTCAGTGGCACAACTGCCTGCCTGGCAAGTGTAAGGTCCTGAGTTCAATTTCCTGGTATAAAAAATTCTATGTTGACAAATTTTTCTCTCTGTTTCTTTGCCTTTTGTCTCTGTCTCTCTCTCCCCCTGAACCATGCTAAACCATTCTGTGTACTAATCCAGTGTACTGATCATACCCTTAATCCCATATCACACACTCATGATCTATTTACCTCCCCAAATCCCACTTCTCAGCACAAGAGGCTGTGAGGGGGGACATCCAGATGTAAGATGTAACACAGGATATTGTGAGTTTGTCATTGCCGAGTGTCTGATTTTTTTTTAAATCTCTCTTAAGACTGATGGGTTTCTAGTGGGCATTTGATTTACTGGCAGATAAGCACGATTCAATAGATTCTTAGATAGGACACCATGACAAAAGAGGCAAATAGATAAGTTGCATTTGGTAAACAGATTTAAAGAGGATCTGAAGCTGTTCGAGCTTTATTAGGCCTGGTTTTGGGCAGCTGCTGAGAGGCCTCTGTAGATCGTCCAGGAGACCGATGGAGTGGCTGGGCTCTGGCGTCTCCCAACCTGACCCAATTCCGTGTGACCTCTGTGTGAGCTCAGCTGACAGCACGTCGGTAGCTGGTTTTGCCCAGCTTCTTCCTGATGATTCACCCTGCAGGTGCGCAGGGCTCCCTACCCAGAATTTTGGAGTCCATTCTCCGAGGTGCTCACTGCCTCTGGTCTGCTTCTCCACCTCCCAAATTCCAGCCGCCTCCATCTCCCCCGAGGGTGATGAAGCCTGCATCTTCAGCTCCCACTTCGCTTGGCTTCCCCTACTTCCCATGGTACTGTCCAAAAGGCTTCTCCGGGCTGGGAGCCAGCGTGACCACAGGACGCGCCTCTTACCGCTCTCCTCTCTGCGATCGCAGCGCGGGGCTGTCTCTGGTCCAATTTTTTTGTCCAGTGCTGGGAATCAAACTCAGGCCCTTGAGCATGCCAGGCAGGCACCGCACCACTGAGCTACATCCCTGGGCCCCTCTTGTCCAATATCTGCAAACAATTTTTTCATATGTTTTCTTTGGTTTCCAGTTGTTTACGATGGGAGGGTTTGTCCAGTAGCAATTTTTCCATTACGGCCAGAAACAGCAGTGCCTCACTGTATTTTCCTCCTG